GCTGACAACTCTTCCAGCAGTCTCTCTTCTCGTGACTCAGCCAGATCACTTGAAAGTTTCTCCCTTACTAAGCTTTCAGTGTCCCAAACAGGCAGTAACATGCATGAGTCTAGTCACTAGTCTGATGCTTCTGACCCTGCAGGACTCATTTTATGGCAGAGTAGTACCCCAAGGGTTTCCTTTGGAAGTTTTTTTTAAACCATCTAAAATGTGAAATTGGAATTACTACAAAAAACAACTTCTGTCTCCTTCCTTGGGCTTAAACCTTTAAGTTTACCCAGGATCCCCCATTTCTCTATTCTTCTAGGGTTAACTTGCTGGAGTCTTGCCTTGACTCTGGATGCCCTCATCCAGTCTATCCCAAGGCTGTTGGCTGGCTTTTTTTCCCTCGGGTCTGCTCCAGGAGTCTCCTTCACTCCTGCTAATCTCTCCTATCAGGGCCCATCCCAAGATCTAAACTCCCTTCCAAAACTCCGCTTCAGTTGAAAGCATGCCAGGGCTTCTTCCTACAAGACCCAGGTCTTGCCCTTTTGTCAGGGCTCATCCCTGGAGCATGTTACACCCCAGCAACTTCTTTGTATCTCTCTGGCTTCCCATTGCTACAGCTCTGAGTACAATGACAGCCTCTCTCCGAGTTACGAATGAGTTACAGACCAAACACTTGGCTGTAACTCGAGCTGTTTGTAACTCGGACCCCATTGAGTTACACACGACCGTGCTGTTCATAAGCGCGGGTCACGTTCGTAACTTGGGGACCGCCTTTACGACCGCTCCATGGGAGCTTTCGTCGTAAGTGTGAATGGTCGTAACTCAACCGTTCGCAACTCGGGGAGCGGCTGTAGTTAGTTCTTCCTTGATTTGGCAGTCTGCAGCCCCCTTCTATGTTGACCTTCCTTTTTCTATAGGAACCATTCAGCTCTTTCCACCAGGAACTTCTCTTTAATTTGACCTTTCCCATCTTTTAGGTGCATTCAGGTATATTAATTGGCCTCAGGGGCCTTTTCACCACCATAGTAGGGTTAACACCACATCATGTTCTTCTTCTGGGCTCTTCATCTCATTCCCAACTTGTTTTCCTGGAATTCACTTGCCATCCACACAAGCAATCCACACATAGTCCTCTTTGTGGACTTGGAACCCTGGGAGAATAGAGGACTTTGACGAGGCCATTTGGTTACAATGTGAGCCCCCTTTTCCCTTCTAACCTCTCATGAATTCACACACACACTTATTCCCTTGTCGTTGTTAAAAGGAAAACGGAAAGCCAGCTCAAGGGTGAAATGATCAGGAAAGTTTCTGATGAGATAGCTCTTCGCTCAGCCTATGCTTGATCTCTGCTTTTCTGGGAAGGCATGGCACCCCACACACCAAGCACAGCTACTTCCACTTCAGGTCCTCCTGTCCGTTCAGACCTCATTTAAATCAGCATTTAATGCGGGGGGAGAGAGAAGCAGCTCTGGAGCAGCACAGGATCCCCCCACCCCAAAAGAAAGGTGGGGGTGGAGGGGAGACTCTTCTTGCATAGGATAGTTTCACTCACTTGAGTTTGACCCCCAACAGCTTCCTTTTATTTCCTGTTTGTGATTGGTTATAGTGGGATGCTCCTTCTGTCAGGTATAGCAGCTTGAGCAGTAGTAATGCAGTTGGATTCTTCCAGATCAATTTGTTAGCCTTCATGTAGAAGCATGGTGTAGGTTATGTATGTAATATTCTGTACTTTAGGGAAGTGTTGTATAATTCCTATATTCTTCATTTCTGTATGATTGTGATCATGCCTTGTCAGGAATCGGGAAAGGTCATTGTCTGCTGAAAGTAATTTATCTACCTAAATATGCATATCATTAATGCATATGAAGATATGAGAATATGTTGTATAGTTGTCACCAAAGTATGCTGTGAATTTGGAAGATGCCCAGATACTAGTTCAACAGAACCCACCACACTCACCTTGGTCTCATAGGAACCTCCCTTGGTTACCTCCCTTTGTTGCTGTCTCCGTAGAAGAGACATCGTAAGCCCAGCAAGTGAGTTACACTACAGTCTGAGGTCACACTAGGATAATTGCTCAGTTTTTCCTGGAGCCTTAGCAAAACCCCCAGACATGCCTTAACTTGTATTCTCCACACACATGGGCTAAGGGTATAAAAACCAAACATGGGGTACATGATTTGTCTTTCTAAAAAGGGCAATGTGTATTTTGTTTGTTTATTTTAATAGTTATGATGTAAATGGTTTAGTATGCTAGAAGACAGAGAGAATATGTGCTAGATAATCCTTCTGTGTTTTATGTGTGGGCCAGGCTTCCAAGCAGTTTGGCAGAATCATGAATCATGGTTTTGAGAACGTGAAGTTTCAGACACTTAATTATCTAAGGCATCTAGATGCTTACAAGGTTAGGGAGAAGCTGAGCAGGTTTTTAAGAGTAAATATCTTCACTTTAAACTATTGTTGGTCATGTGTATTTGTAACCAGGTCCCAAGAGAATCAACTGAGGTTACTTAATTAGGGCGAATTGCAAATAATGTGGGAGTCATTCCCCAAAAATGGTGGTTATTCCAATACTTAGATTTACTAAAACAACTTCTATCATACCTTACTGGTTACCCAGAATCCAATGATACAGTGCCCTTAAAGCAACTCAGCTTTAGGTCTCCAGCCAGACACCTGAGTCAAATATGATGAGGATCACTATCTTATTCATCAAATAAGAAAGTTCTAGCAGTCCCAAAGGATTGGACACATTACCTCTCAGCTTAATGAATATTTCGAGTTTTACCTCATACACATTTATAGTCAATTCTTAAGTAAAATAAAATGTATTTAAAAAGAAAAGAGAAAAGTATTGGTTAAAAGATCAGTATACTGTACATAGAACTTGATAATAGTTCTGAGATCAGATTCATAGTACAGGGCATGAATGTTGTAGTTGCAAAGACTTATTTTAGAATTTAGTCCAGAGGACATAGTCAGAATTCCAACATCACATTCAGGGTGTTCCAGTTTAGCCCTGGGATCTCAATCCTAATAATTTATGCTTCCCCTGCATGAAACTTTAAGTAGATCCGAGATACAGGAGCAGGCCCCCAGGCTTCTCTTCACAGTTCAGAGTCTTTAAGTCAACAATAGGCAATCATGGAAACTTTTAAATAAACCTATTTCCCAGGCATCACCAGTAATTAGCTATACTGATTAACACAACAATTGCTTGTCATTCACAAATGATTTGGTATACATTTCAAAGAGATTTATAGACAGGAACCATTGGATTACATGGTTGTTAACCTCTAACAATATATATGCAAACACACAAAAACATAAACATCTACCAGGTTAAATTTGGGTCATTTATCCTGCTGGATGCTTAACCCTTTCTTGGCCAGGTGGCACAGTACTATTTACAATGGAGCAAGTAGTCTGGGTGTTTTCCAAAACACAAGGATACACAGACCTCATTCCAGAGAGTACAGTTGAAAAAGACAAGCATAAGGTTGAGTGCATCACAGATGCAAAGAGATGGTGACAATTTGTTTAGGTTTTATACCCAAATAATCCCTCCTACCCTAGAAGCTGCAGATTCATTCTCCTTTTTATATTGGCCCTTTATCCTTGATTCAAAAACTTTGCTTTTGAATTAAGCTCACTACATTTGCCTCCCCTATATCTTCCGTTAAAAATTAGCCCCCTCCTGTCCTCCTAGTAATCTAGCCTCAGCTACAGCATCCTTACATCCACCTCCTGACCCCAGTATTCCACTTGGAACTTCATTCACTGCTGACAAAGATTAGCAAGAAACTTGCTGGGGATGTGAAAACATGTTGCTACATCTCTATTAACTATTGGAGTCTTTCCCTTTTGATGTACAAGCTATATTTCAGAGGGGTACAGTTGGGGCTCCTACTTTCTATGTTATTCTGAGGTGGAAGTGGAATCCCCAAATCAAATGCCCTATGGGGTTAACAGTTGCTTAATATAGAGTGGTTGACCAATATTTAGTAATATTACTGTGGCACCACTAATCATCTATGAATAAGAGCTCCATACTGAAGTTTGCAAGAAAAAGACCCAAGTACAAAATGAGATTTAACAACGATCTTCCACATTGTTTAAAAAATGTCTCTACTCTCAGATTTTTTTTCAGAACCCAATCATGTTTTCAAAAAAGAAATATTCCAAAAATCACAGCGCCCAAGTAAGCACTGCATGAGTATAAAGTTCTCTAAAGCCTATTCTCTAATCATGAAGACCTACTCAAGCTTTATATTTCTATATTACCCAGTTTACAACATGTTAAGGTTGATTATAATTACCATGAATTTGCAGAGTTCATTTAACAAGTAAAGTTTGGTCTTTTGTGGGATGAAGCAGAACAACAACAACAAAAAAATCTTTACTGCCCCTTTAATGCTTCTAGTTGCTTGGTTGTCATACAGTGGCATGAAATGGGGATAGCTTGTACCGTGCTGGAGCTAGCTTTGCTAGAAAATACTAGAGCATCAACCCCCCTCCTAACCCAATGGTTTATTTTAAAATTAAACCCTATTCTGAGTAAAACGAGATTATTATTGGTTTTTACCCAAACACTGATGTTTCAAACTATGACATTGATTCTTTGGATCAAATTTTGCATTATGACCTGTAGAGTTCTACTGAAGTATCCTGAAGCACATAACCTGCATTCTTCTCAGCTCTCTGTGACATAAACAAACCTTTTAAAATACTTCTGCTGTTCAACATATTGTACTTTCATGTCTCTCCTCTGCCACTCCCCACAGAGTAATGCTGGCATGTAAAGACCTACCATTGATGGAAATGTTTTAAATAATCTGCACCTTTTGATACTTAAGAAAAAGTGACTCGTTTTATACTGTCTTCTTGTATTAATCTACAGGTTTGAGACATGTTTCCTCCCTCCCACCAGAGGGAGACAAAACACTCAGGCTCTGACATGGTATCAGCTTTGTTACATGTGACACTTTGCTTGTCAGCCTCCGCCAGGTGAAGGTCTCTTTAATGCCTATAATTCTTGGGAATTTAGGTAGGCCTCGTACCTGCTAAGGCTCTCGGTTTTGCCATCTACCCTTGGGGTGTCTCTAGGCTCCACTTGTGTCTTACTGGTTCTGTATTTTCCTCTGTATCTGCCTGTGTGGGCTGGTATTGCTGTACTCTCCTCATTCAGGAGTGACTCAGATCTTTGGTTAGAAGTCTCTTCCACCTCTCACTGTTTCCTGTTATGGTACTGCACTATTGCAGCATAACAGTCTCTCTCTCTCTGCAGGTAAAGGGCTTTTCTTTCTTCCCCTTCACTTTGCTTTGGTGTCAGATAAACACATGGTGGTTAACAGTGACTGATTTATGTGTTCTGTTTGGTTATTCAATCATATTGATTATATTTTCGGTAGAAGTACAGAATAGCAATGGGAGCAGGGCCACTCTTCTCAAGTGTTTGTTATTAAACACTGATATTGCTGTAGACTGTATTTTTTTCTCCCAGTGTTTGATAGGGCAAGACTATAGCTCATGTTACTTTTGTGCAAGATGGCCGAGCAATGTGAGAAATGTTGCCTAACACTTTATGTACATGTCAATAAGCTTCCCCAGAAGGAGAATGGGCATTGTTCCTCCATTCCCTACATGGTTTTTTTTTAAGTGAACACACAGAACATTGAAGTATGAATTGTTTAATTTGGCTGCAAACAGTCTCACATTTTATACAGTAAAGATCCAAGAAATATGTATGTTACAACACCTTACATCAAGATTTCCCATCTCTGTTACCCAATGATATAGCAGAACTTAACAGAAGTCTCTCTCTTCTCTGTGACACCACACCTGCATGCTGTTGGAGTGATTACAGTTAAGTTCTTCAGTTATTTTGAATGATTCTCAACTTTTGCTGGCTGACTCTGAGAATGCCACTTTCATATTTCATTTAGATTGTGCACCTTTGCTTGAATCCCTCTTAGTATCTTATTAATTAATGACTGTGCAATATTTAAATTTAGTGGTAAAAAGTGAAAGTTAAACTGGAAATAAGTTGTATTTGTTTGGTAGCAGCGAAGTTTGTTGCATGAAAGTGAATATGTTTTGACACTATTAAATAGTGGACACCTGATGTTATAATAAACTTATTATCCCTAAGTCTGTAATTCTCAGTTTGGTAAATTTTCCACAGAGCTGATGGTTAGTTTTACCCTGAGAGAATAGAGCCATTTCAGATTTACTAGAACGTATCTTTTTTTGTAGAGGCCCAGTTAGGCTGTTCCAACATTGTCTTCAGTCCCTGTGACTCTAGAACCATGAAATCTCATTTTAAGCATCTTTTTCAAAGAGCCATTAGTATAAAGCTAGCAGAAATTATGTATCTCAATTATTACATATTTGTATAATAGTTCTATTTCATACTTTAGAAAATGTTTATTCTATTGTAAGACATTTTCTTAAAATGATATTTTAGATTACTATGGGGGTTGTGCCCTGTGCTCGCTATGTTTGCCAACCCTCCTTTCTCTGGTCGATGTCTCCACAAGGCTTTTACTACATTTAAAATGCAGAGGTGCAGCGGTCCTGGACTAGTGGGAGCCAGGACTGCTTGGTTCTGGATTGTGCCGGGTCCAGCAGCCCCTGTTTGTGGTGGGCCACAAACAGCTGTTGCTGGAGCAGCCTTTGTTTGCTGCCAACCTGGCCCACTTGGTGGCAGGAGCCCCTGTCTGCGGTGGAGGGGGAGGGAGGGAGAAGCTCCCCGCTGGGACATCCATGGACAGTGGTTGCTGCCCGAGCAATCTTCCACCCCTCCCCCCCCAATGCCTCTGATGGAGGCAGGCAGCACTGAAGAGATGGTGCTGGGGGGAATCAGCTTTTAAGCCAGCTCCTCCCAGTACTGGCTCCTGTCTCCCCCATTCCTTTTGCTCCTTCTCCTACAGAGGCAGCCATGGAGAAGGGGGGGGGGAGGGAAGGCGAATAGTGGAGGATTCCACTCGACTACCTGATAAGCTTATTTTTATTGGGTAATCAAGTAGTTGACTATTTGCTTGCATCCCTAATATGACCTGGGACCACCTGTAGTGGCGGGACAGTAGTTCAGTCACTCTATTCATTGAGTCATTTTTCTTCTAAGACTGCTGATATATAGTCTAATTATTGCTGATTTGGTGGCTTTGTGGCATTGCCTTGTAACTCTTTCAACATAAATGCTGCATGACTGACATTAAAACTAACCGTCCTCCCCAACATACTTTATAATACATTGATTTTTTCAAAAGGTATTTTGGAATAAAAATTGATAGTAAGTCCTTTTCTTCTTTTCTATTCATACCTCTCATTTTGATGTCCTCTTCATAACGTGTATGATTTGTAATCTTTTGAAATATCACTTGCTTTATGTTTCCTGCTATGCCTAACCTTTGGCTTGGAATGATTTCCTAAGTGCATTTATAAAAAAGCCACTAAATCAATAACATAGAATTCAGGGAGTGTCAGAATCATTGTCCAATAAAATATACACCACAAAACTCTTCAGACCAACTTCAAAATGGACACAAATGGTTGCAACTCTGTTGAAGCCAATGGAATTGGGCCAAGTCTAAATTTGTCCCCTCACCTACAATTCTAAGGTATTTGAGGTACGATAAAATGACTGGCATCTTGCTCTTACCAGTTCAGCAGTTTTAATTATAGTAATGACCTTCGGTTTTGACTTTCAAGTTTCTTATTTTTTTATTAAAAGAAAACACATTTTAAAAACAGAGGCCCATTTTGGTCTGACCTATGTTTCCTTAATAAAGTGGTGCTTAATAAGAGTTTAGCCTAATTTGATTTATTCAAGTTTGACAAGAACAGAGTGCAGAATTGGGTCTTTGACAATACTTGTGACATTGAAATCCACTCAGCTTTTAAAAAAAATTCTTGTTCTACTGCTCTGTTTGAAACTGATTTGTGTTCATTTCTGTCTCTCATTTTGGAGTTTGACGACAGGTTTTAGTTCTGTTTTGATTTCATTTCTTTTTCCAGAGTCTTTTTAAATGTAAACTTTTGCAGTATTTTTAAATATTAGTAGTTGCCATAACAATAAGAGTAAGACATAGCTTTTGTATAGGACTTTTCCTCTGTAGATCTCAGTGCGTTACAAAAAGGTCAGTAGCTTATCAACATTATTAGCAATTTTCAGTGGCTAGTTGAACATAATCGGTTTTATAGTACAATGTAATTGCTCTAGTATGTAGTACTCCCCTAAGCAGCATTTTGCTGTCATTGTTCATAGAAAGTGGGCCTGACAGTAGTGATGACCTTGCACTGCTTACAGTTTTGGTTTTTTTGTAGGATGCAGGGTTCCCTCTAAAGGCAGCACTAGCATATACAGTCACTGATACAGATTCTGATTGTGTGCCTTTTGGGCAATGCAAAACAGTTTGACCTGCAATACTCCAGCCATCGGCCAATCTTATACCAAAATTATAACACACATCAAATAATATGAAGATCCACTACCCGTGTTTGAAAATTACAGATTGACAAACTTGTAAAGCCACATATATATGCGGGTGACTAAAATAGAAGGCTAATAGATATATTAATGATTTCCTCAGTTGCCCAATGAATGCTATTTTTCCTTTCCAATCTGTTTCAAATAAAGGAATATAATTTGATTACATTCTAGTTTAAAATTTTGAGTATAAAGCCCCAAAATATTTCAACAGCTTATATTCTGAGAGCTGAAGTTTGATTTATTTAGAAGATTATAGGGAAATGAGAGAGAACAGTGTTGTAGGTTCGTAGCAAGATTCAGAGTTTTCCCAGAGCAATTACTATAATATGCAGCCTACCTAAATCTCAGGTTTTTTTCTGTTTTGTAATCAAATAATATCTTGTAATACATGGGCACCAGCTATAAGAAAAGCCTAAGAAAATAATTGTTAATGAGGATTTGAATTCAGATTTCTAGAGGTGAAAATCTAGTTTTTTAATCTGCTATTTTGCTGAGCTCCTTTATGTGGTCTGGTATCTCAAGTTGTAGCAAGTAACTGAAAATCTCTTTGTAAGGAGATGAGAGATCTGTGACTAGAAAGATTGCTCCTTTGCTGGCATTGTATTCCTTCTGCATAATATGAAGGGCACCTTTTTATTCATGGTTTCACTTCTTGAATGCTAGATTTTAAAAATAAAATAAAAAACTGTTTACTGTGTTTGAAGCGTATGAGTGGATAGAAGGTAGTGGCATTAGTATCCGTAATGCTTTTCCTAGTTTGCTTGCTCACAATATTTACAACCAGGCCACTTTTAGTACATGAAAGACAATTCTTTCCCCCCCCCCAAAACTCCTACTACCTTCTCTTTGGGTTTCACCTTGTTTTAGAAGTACAAGAACAGGGTCTAAGGCCAGATTACATAAATTGCTCTGTGGAGCTGGACCTCTGTGATAAGCCTCAGTGACGATCTACACAGGTGAAAGGGGCCTGTGTGGATCAAGGTGTAATCTGTAGGCTAAGGCCATGCATACTCATATTGGGGACTGACACTGCTGCGATTGATGCATTAAGGGTCAATTTAGTGGGTCTCTGGTGAACTCTAGTACTCCACTGTAATGAGATGATTAAGATAAACGGGAGAGCGTCTCTTGTTGATGCAGCATAGTTTAGATGCTGCCGTAAACATTGATTTCAGATTGGCTTACCCTGGTAGGGTAGACCAGGTCTGAGTTTGATTTCAAGTGGATTGAAGAGCAGTGAAATTGTTACTGTAATTCTAGCTCCTGCTTTATCAGTTTGGAGGTGGTGGTGTGGAGTAGCATTTATTTTGTTATTGTTTTTTATCATTTCAAAAAGTCAGCAGTAGCATTTTGTTATAAAGAAAATGCATTCAGAAATCAGTGAATACTTCTGGTCTACAGAAAAAATGTGTTCAGCTACTGTTTGCTTATGCTTTGCTTTAACAGACCATTAAAACCTTTACATTCTCTTCCATTTGAAAGGCCACAGGTAATCAAACTTACTTTGTGTAGCTGTTAGAACTGGTTTAATGTTTAACCTTTTTGTTTTTGTA